AATCGACTGCTGTTCATCAAATGTTCGGGTTTGTTCAGTGTGGAGTTTTAGCTTGTTGTTTTTTTAATGACCTCTCGACTTTCATTCTAAAGTCAAATTAAACGAAGAAAACAGTCGCCTCTTCCACCAGAAGACATCTTTTTTGTCAGCGTAACCCTGTCCCCGTGGTTTTATGCACCCCGCATAATTTAATGAAATTTGATTTTTCTTTTGTTGCATAATTTCTAATGATTGTTCTGTATCATTCTTTGTTAAAATTAACTGAATCGCATAATTTCACATTTTTGGGCTCAGTTTGCATAATTTCATAATTTTTCTTGCATAAAACGACGGGGACAGGTAAACATTTTAAATAAGCGTTCTTCCGAAATTTGAATTCTAATTCATTCAAAAACTTGGTATTTTCACTTTGATTCTTTTTCACTCAAGTAGTGCAACTCCGTTCGCAAAGGGTGCGCTTTTTCGAAGAGGGCGCCACCGGATTTTGAGGACCCTTTTTTTAATTGGCTCAAAGAGAGGAGTGGACTACCTTGTCAAGTACTATCTTTGGATGCACCACGGATTTTTGACCGCACTATATCTATTATCTATTTGTGGTGGCCGAATTTTGCTATTCAAAAGGCTTTTTAATGGCTGCATCGATCGATATGCGGTTTTCGCAAAAAAAAATCTTTAAAATATTCTCCAAAGCATGGCGCCCTTGGTTTTTTCAGTTTTGAGATAGTTTTGCTGCAAAAAGCTAAAAAAATTTATTTCGCCGATCGCTTTTGTAGGCCGACGCTTCTGTCTCTGTAATTTTAGAAAATCCGAAAGTGATATTTCGCGAGGCGTTTTTTTTTTTGAGAGTATAGATCTAGACCTTCTAATTTTTTGCATCTCTCAAGATTTATTTCCCCATTCCAGTAGAGTGTAATATAGTAGGCCAATGACTTTTAGTTGATATTAAAGCACCGATCATCCCTTTAATCGAAAGGGGCAAGGAAAAACAGGCGAAGAAGAAGAAGAAGAAGAAGAAGAAGAAGAAGAAGAAGAAGAAGAAGAAGAAAGAAAGAAAGAAAGAAAGAAAGAAGCTAATATTAATTTTTTTTTTTTATAAGACAAAAAAGATGCAAACCATTTCACAAGTTGTAAAATGGGGGATCCCTCCCTGTCACTAATTCACGGACGAATCCGCTACTGGGGAGTGTTACAAGAGAGGGTAGTGTGTGAGTAGTATATCCACACACCCTTCTATCCTTTTAATCCGAATATAAAAGGATATACTTTTGCGAGCGAAGAGCGCCTATATTTTATAGGTGCGGACCTCCGAGACTAACCGAGATGGGTTTTTTACGATGTTTTTTGTTTTTATAACTTATAAATATTTTCAAGATCATGGCGCCCTTCGTTTTTTCAATTTTGAGACAGTTTTGCTGCAAAAAGCTACATTTCTTTATTTCGCCGATCGCTTTTGTAGGCCGACGCTTCTGTTTCTGGAATTTTAGAAAATCCGCCAGGTTTGTTTATTTCAAGTCGTACTTCCGTTCGACACTGTCGCGCATTGTCGTGCAATACTGAGCACTATTTTAAGTGTACTACCCGTATAGATCTAGCCTCATGTTTTCTTTTTTTACTTGGTGCTAAATTCGACTGTGATCCTTTCGTTTGATGCCCATCATCGCTTTTTCTGGACTCCTTTGTCAAATTCTTTTTCTTGCTACTTGGAACAATCAAAACGCTTCTGTCTCAATCCGTTCATCGAACGGGGGCCCCAGCTAGTTATTTATATTTGGAATCTACTACATGCAACTTGCAAAAAAAAATGCACATCATTTCTGATAAGTAGAAATTGAAAAAATGGGTTGAAAGTAGAGCACAATCCTTCTTATTTAAAAGTGTGCCTTTTCCACAGCGTTTTTGTTGGCTGCATTTTGTTAAAATCTCTAATTCAACTATTTACATGTGTATTATGTCTATCCAGGGCAAAGCCCTTGTCATCGGACCTTTGTTATACTGAAATGTTATGGGAGTATTTCTGCCCATACAGGGTAATGGACAAACAATTATAACTGCAGGCCTACTTGCTTTGGTCTTTTATGTTGTTGTTGTTGTTAGTGATAGTAGGGGGGGGGGGGTTGTGCATGTTTGGGGTTTTTATTTTTGTTTTTTTAAGAAGTTTTTTTTAAGGGTGGGGGGGGGGGGGGTAATTTTTCTACTAAGTCCAATGTGTTATTTTGCTCTTCCAGGAAATGGCTACGCTGAGGAAATCAGACCGGAGGGAAAAAGTGCTGAGTAAGATGACTGATTTAGCAAACAGACAACAGCAGCAAGAGGCTCTGGAAGCTAAAAATAAGCTGGAGAAGGAACGTCTGAGACTCCTCCAGAAAGAAAACGAAAACGAAACAGACGACCAAGAAGTTAATCAAGCTCTCCTTGGCAAGGAAAACAACGAAGACAACACGGACTCCGTATTCCTTCCTCCGGAGTTTTGTATATCGCCTGCTGCAAACTCCCGGAAACCGGAAGTCCGATGGGATAGAAGTAGTGAAAGTAGTTCCTACCGGAACACCAGTGTCAGCAGCAAGGGCTCGGGAAGGAATACCAGCTCGTGTTCTACCGTTGTGAGCAACCTGCCCTCTTCCGGTAACAGTTGGGGTGTTACTTAACTCTGTTTTTGTGTTTGTTTGATTGTTTGATTTTTGTTCGGAGCTCTTGTGTGTGTGTGTGTGTGTGTGTGTGTGTGTGTGTGTGTGTGTGTGTGTGTGTGTGTGTGTGTGTATGTGTGTGTGTGTATGTGAGTGTGAGTGAGTGAGTGAGTGTATGTATGTGTGTGTGTGTGAGAGTGCTGTGTGTGTGTGTGTGTGTGTGTGTGTGTGTGTGTATGTGTGTG